ATTTCAGTGGAACCACTCCCTGCCCCAGGTGACGCCCCTGCACTCTGCTTTAGTTTATGTGAGATCTGGTCCCTTTGATCTCTGGGAGTGTACACAAATATTCACATAATACATTTTATAGACACTTCAGAAACTTCGACTCCCATCCGTTTGGGCATAATGATTGTCACATGTTTGCCTTCACCCGGGAAAAGGTGTTCTTATGCTCTTCAAATGAGTAGCTTCTCAAGAAAGTAAACAAATTAAACTTAAGGAAGTGGGTGACTTACCTGGATGTGTAGCATGTTGTGCATTCTTCGCTTTCCTCTGCTACATAATGAAATATAAACCTCTAGTGGCCAAGTGTGATATTTGAAGGACTCAGTTTTACACACTTGGAAAGGGTGATAAATGTTCTTTCCTAACATGTTTGTCTTCTTTCAGTCTTCATTTAGCAGAAACTAACTTTCAGGTAGAGAAGCTGCATTGCTTAGTGGCTAAAGCGTAAAGACTGGGATTTAATCAGCTGGTTTGAATTCTTACTATCATGTGCTTTGGTTAAATCATTTAATTTCTCTCTTACTTTGTTTCCTTGAGTGGCAGTGGTTGAAGGAGAGCATTCCTAGCAGAAGCGATGGCTTGCACCATGTCAGAGCGGAAACCAAAGCGTGTCACAGTTCCCAAGTTTCAGTACTACTGTATTGTTGGGACAGGGTGTGGGGTGCATGGGAGCAGGCAGTGGTACATGGGGGGAGAGTGAGCAGAGATGGGACAGAAATGTAGATCTGAAGGAACTCTTTCCATAAAGGATAAATAAGTTAGGATATAGTGGGTGTCACTAAAGTATTTTAAGTATTTTAATTCCTACCTTAAGGAGAAGTTATGCTCATTTGTTTTAAAAAAGAGGATTCCATTATCTCTGAGGAAAGTGGACTGATGGTCAGATTAATGATGGCAGGACCAATCAGCAAACTGTAACATTTGCCCAGGCAAGGAATAATGAGAAGCTGAACCAAGGTAGCGATGCTGGAAATGGAGAGTAAAGATCAGATAGAAAAGGAAGAAGATCCAATGGATCCGGCTCAGTGAGCATCTCAGCGGAAGAGGAGGGAAAGTGAGTGCTTGGGTATGCTGATGCCACTTGGGAATGATGCAGATGAGGAGTCTGTCAATTCCCTGAACACTGAAGTACCTTATGTTTATAATAAATATCAAATGTTAGCATCCGTTCGAGACACTGAGAAAAAGCCCTGTTGTGCAGGTTTATTGAGGTAGGTGTGGTGGTTTCATTCACATGTGAGACAAGTAAGTGGTCCTCAGATTTCCTTGTGGAGTGGAAAGGTGTGGAATGCAGGTCTGTTCTCTTCTCCTGTCCCCTGGTGCTATATTCTGATGAAACTTTGTTATTCTTAACTGGGTAAAGGAGTTTGGTAACATTTTTAAGAGCTATCAGGAGCAACTTTCATAAATGGTTGAGTTGAAGCAAACATATGGGACACTGTTAGGAGCATGTGTAATAATATAAAGCTTTTGAATAAAGAGGAAAAATCTCCTCTGGAAGAAAATAGCTTGCACAGATAGTCCTTACATACTATGATTGGTCTTTAGTGCCCTCTATTGGCTATTTAGTCTAAAGCAACATCTTGATTCTTGAACACAAAAGTGTTTCTTGCCAAAAAAGAAAAATTAGAGATTTTAAAATCATGACAAAATATGCTGACATCTGATGGTGGCTTTAAAATATGTTTGAGGGGCCTTGGGATTGGGTAGGGGTCTTGAGAAATGTCTTTATGACACTTTCTTTGCTATAGCATGCCTGTGACAGCCTGGGCTGTGTTTTCAGGAAATGGACGTTTCCGAAGAGCAGCAGCCTGAGTCAGGCTGGTGTTCCAGCACTTTTCACGCAGCAAAGCCTCAAGAATAGCATCCGCCCCGTAGTCAGTGACAGCTGCTGTTTTTCCAGAGGGTGGCTGCCATGTGATGGCCATGAAAGGAGATGACTGTTCCTCATTAAAGGGCTCTATTCAGCTCTGTGGTTACATGGTCAGAAAAGTCATCCCAGAAAATGCAGCAGTGATTGCACAAAGTGGGGCATCTTCAGAGGTGGTAGTTCCTCTTTTTTTT